CACCAACACTGGATCCACAAGATTTTGCACCCCTTGGCCTGTGATCTTCCTGAACTAGGTGTCATTACATGTGTTTGTGAGTCTGAAGAACACTCTATAGATTAGTATTGGGCATATGGGCTAATATCTAACTTATAGACTTGATATGGACAGGGCTGGGAATTTTCTCAATATATAATTGCTCTTGTATATAAAGCTCTTTCTAACACACATGAATGTCTATGAATTTGTTTCCCTAGTCAACCCAGGCTAACACAATTAGTCTGAATTAAGAGGTGCTATACAATGGGGCCTTATAGAATGCGTCCCTTGGACACAAATGCTGAGGACTAAAAGGGTATAAGTGCTGTTAGGTAAGCGGCTCATGGGGTACGGATCCCTGAAAAAAAGGGGGGGTTGGGACAATAGTTTAAATCAGGGCCTGCTCACTATTTAACAGAGGGATACTAATCTACTCTGAGTAGATCAGCATAACAGTTAGACTTGGAAGTATTTGTATAGTCTCTCTTTTTATAACTATTGTTGTCCAACTATGTAAGATAAGCAGGATAAGCTATCCCAAGGAGATGGCAATGGGACTAACAGTTTTCGGGAGGAGATATAGGTAGGGGAGCAATGAGCCAATAACTATAGGGACAGGGGATTAGCAAAGGTGTAGCATTGCTGGTTGTGTTTGATCAATTGAAATGTATCTGAGAGGAATCACTGAGAGGTGAAATGACAGGTAAACATGATAGTGGGACAGGAGGAAATAAAAATGAAAAAGAGGACAGCATAAGAAAGCAAAAATTATACATGTAGGTATAAATATAGACATGTATATATGCAAATATAAAAAGATAGGTGTATTTGTCTATGTGTATATATAAACACAGACACACACAATCAGAATGCACATGGACTTTAGGCCTCTACTTAAATCTTACCTCAGTCCAAGAGCAGTTTGTTCTAATAATGTGGCAATGTATGATATTCACCTTCCCTACATGATCGCTGAAGACAAAATGGGTGCATAAGCAAATGTGGTGAAGAAAGCTGAAGGTGCCCAGCTATTACAAGATAAAGCATCTGGGGTCTTAAACGCATGAAGTTAAACAAGCAACCATCTAGCAGGGAAGCAACAAAGCCCACATGGAAGAAGCACACCAGCCTGTGTGATCATGAGGTATTCATGGGAAAAGGTATCAGATGTTCAAAAACAAGCAATCAAATTGACATGAAAGAGCATAGACAAAGTGGAGACCCAAAACCCACCATAATTAGGCAGTACCTCACAGAAGGCCCAAAAGAAATGGATGACATATCCAGAGTGCAGTAAACTACTGATGAAACACATAACTATCCTCTAGACCTTTAATATTTCCTCCTCTTACTATTATGGTTGTGTTAGTCTGGGTTGACTAGAGAAACAAATCCATAGAAACTCACATGTGTATAAGAAAGAGCTTTATATACAAGAGCAATTGGATAGTGAGAAAACATCCCAGCCCAGTCCAGATTAAGTTCATAAGCTTGATATTAGCCCATATGTCCAATACCAATCTATAGAGTGTTCTTTAGACTCACAAAACACATACAATGACATCGAGTGCAGGAAGATCACAGGCCAGTAGATGTAAAGGCTTGTGGATCCAGTGGTGGTGAAGGCATATCAGCACTGGCAGGGGTTTTCTATGTGACTTCTCAGGCTCCAGAAGCCTGGTTGCATCAGAGTAGATCCATGTGGTTTCTCCAGCTCCCAGGGCGCAGAGCCATTTGTCTTGTCAGTAGAGAGTCGTCTCAGGGAGTGAGGAGAGAGAGAGAGAGAGAGAGAGAGAGACCTCATTGGTCATATCTTGACTGACAGGGCAGACTCCACCCCCTCACTCATAATCCTCTCAAATTGACACCAGATTCTGTAACTACCATAGTGGTATAGTGGTTTTAATTTTATCTCATTATTCTTGTTAGACATGTGTATGCTCATTTGTATAATGAAGATAATATGATAAATGAAATCCAAGAAAGATAAACCCTTCAGAAATAGTAATGGGAGTAATGATGCCCTGAGTGTACAGGGAGAGAAGGGGAGCAAGGGATGGAAGGATGAGCAGATAGCTATGATAACTGTATAACTCCACTCAAGGGGAAGAAATAATAGAATTGTAGGTGAATGGATACACTGGATGGTGTAAGATATGGCAAAAAAATCAGGATAATAATATATAATAAATGTTCTTGGGGGTAAGGTCAGGGAGGGGGATAAAGGGGATCTGCTATCAAAGAGTTAAAGATGAAAGAAAATATTTTGAAATTGATAGTGGTAGCAATTGTACAATTATGCTTGATCTAATTGAATTATGGATTGCTAAAATATCTGTTAAGAGCTCCTAATAAAATGATTTAAAAAACAAAAAGAGGTGCTATAAAACTAAAGAATAGATTTGGATGATAGCACACAATAAATGATAGAAGATGTCTCAATAGTAACTCTTATCTTAGTTACATGTCAAAATGTTTTGCTTATATTAAGTTAAATATGAATTATACTAATTTTAATGTAGTTTCTAGAAAATTTGTGTGGCTTGAATTTGAAAGATTATATTTCTGTTAACAGCAATGCTCAAGGCTCTGCCACCATTTTCCAAAGTCCCACATGTACCTTTGTTTAAATTGCATAGTAAATTCCTGAATCAATTTGTATGCTCTAGTTGTCAACTACTTAAATTCCCCCTCTTGATAGAAATGTAATTTGTAAAAATATTTATTACTAAAATTTTAAAAAACCTTAAGTTCTCGGTTATATTGCTGTCTTGTTTCTTCATTATTTCATTTATGTTATATACACATTATAAGTGCTGCATATTCTTTCCACATCGCATAGATCATTATCAAAGACCCACCTATTGCATACCTCCTCTGATCCTTCCTCCTTTTATCCCAAATTGGTCTTATTTTTTAATAGTTTTATATTAAAAAGTTATGCAATTGTGGTAGCTACATAATCTGGTGTCAATTTGGGACTTGAGAGGATTAAGAGTTAAGGGGTGGAGTCTAGTCTGTCAATCAGGTCATAGCCAAAGAGGCCTGTGTGTGGGCTTGGCCTTCTACTGAGAATTCTGGTAAATCCGGGATTTCTGGTAAATCCTCTTCTTTGGAGGCAGGAGGCATTTCTCTCTCTCTGCTCACTCCTTGGGAGACATTGCAGCTGACAAGACACATGGAACTATGCTAGTGCCCTGAGCTGGAGAAGCCTCATGGACCTACCCCGATGCAACCAGACCTCTGCAGCCATTAAAGCCATGTAGAGACCCTTGCCAGCACTGAGATGCTTACAATGTCCCTGGATCCAGACTTTCTACCCATTGGCTTGTGATCGTCCTGCATTCAGCTTCATTGCATGTGTTTTGTGAGTCTGAAGAGGACTATATAGATTGGTATTGATCATATGGGCTAATATTGGACTTATGGGCTTGGATTGGACTGGGTTGGGATGCTTTCTTAATGTACAGTTATCCTTGATATAAAACTCTTGTACACATGAGTCTCTAAGAATTTGTTTCTCTAGTCTATCCAGACTAACAGATCAATCATCACCAGTTTTGAAATCATTTTCTTGTTTCTTCCACCCATTATTATTATTACCACCCAGCCTCCCAGGCCATAACACTAAACCAAAGCCAAACCAAATTCATTGTCATTGAGTCAATAGCGATCCTATAGAGCAAGGTAAAGCTGCCCCTGGGAGTTTCTGAGACTATAACTTTTTACATGCGCATAAAGGGCTCAAGTAGAAAGCAAATGTTTTGAAAAGGATGATGGAAACATATGTACAAATATTCTTGACACTATGGATGCATATATGGATTATGACGAGAGCTGTAAGAGCCCCCAGTTAAATGATTTAGAAAAAAAGATACATTTCCTTCTCAGTGGTAGAGACCAAATAGTGAAAAGGCTGGGTGGAAAAACAGAATGTTCACACCACCCTCTACAATGACTGAATGGACTCTTGGGTTTGGGGTCTGATACAAGGGCACAGCATGAAGTCTGGAGTACAGGGACACACATATCTGGAAAGAGGAGGTACACTACAGAAGACCTGCCAATAGCGGAAGACCCACCAGAAAGCCACCCTATGGTGGGAGGTCCACCATTAACAGACTATCAGGTCTCACTCTACATTCTTTGAGGCCCATTAGACTAGCTACAGACCCTTTGGACTTACATCCCAAAGTATCCTCTTAAAAAAAAAAAAAAAAAAAGCAAACCCCAGAAAGTCCCATCTTTGTTTCTCCTTGCCATAACCCTAAGAAACTATTAATCTAGTTACTGTCTTTATGGATTACTCATCCTGGATGTCCTATTTAAAAAAAAACCATACCTAACTCTTAACAATGACAACAACATAAAGCACAGACAAACCTTAATCCCAAAGAAATCAGAAAACAGATATTAATAGAAATTTAAATGGCTCAGGCCTATTTTAAATGCCATGTATCTGTAATAGTATTTTATCCTAACAAAGCTTTAACTAGTACTTACCACATTGTAGTGATGTAGTCGTTACACATTGGCTGCAATCAGAATAACTCTTTCAAAAACTGGTGTTGATTTAATGCAAGCAGGGAAATATAATGGTCTTTTTTACTGTGACTCAAAACTGTTCTACCCCATATTCCATCTTATACCAAAAGCAAACTAGCCAACAAACAAAAACCACTACTCTTACTGAAAACTATAAAACCAGTAATCAAAAAATCATCCCAAAATAGAAGTCACCACAAAAATAATTTCATTTAAAACCAGTAAACTTTTATTTATGAAAACCCATTAATTCCCATAAAGCAAACCAAAAGTCTCAAAGTCTTGCTCTTCTCTTGGTATAGGCAATGTCAAACAGCAAAGTTGTAGAAGATAACTGGCTCTCGTAAACAACTGCAAACAGTTCAGGCAGAAAAAATTCATTCGGCTATTTCTTTTCTTTCAAAACAGGGTGGGGCTTTGTGATGTCGAGTTTTTCAGAATGGCTGATAACTTGCCTGGTAACCACTATAATAAGGAGCAGCCTGGCTTATTTGCACGTTGACGTTATTGACAGTAGAGCCGAACGTAGGAAACAAACCTCCGCCATAGTCACTAAATATTGGCTGAATATTATAGACATTCATGGTATTGCTAAATATTTGATCAGATCTCACTTGGTTGTAGGGTGAGGACGGTACAGGCACAAGAATGGAAAGAAGACTACCGCCACCAGAAGTGCCTTGAACAGCTGGGTTGGTTCCGAGGTCACCAGGATAAGCCCCCAAATAACTTGCTCCACCGGCATCTGGGCCACCACCACCACTAGCATCTTGAACACCTGGGTTTGTTCCGAGGTCAGCAGGATTTGCTCCACAGACATCCTGGTTTGGACGGATGCCCCTTATTACTTGGCGACGTACGCGGCAGGCAAATGGAGCAACGCTTTTCAACAGCCGAGGCCGGCCATATTCTTGAGGGTGTGCAATTTTAATTTCACACGGCCTGGCACCAATGAGGTGGTACCTGTTGTCTAACAGCTTCCTTGCCGCGTTCTCATGCTTATACGTGATAAAGCCAAAAGCTCGCCTTTTATTTGTGTTTGGCCACACTGGTAGTTCAATATCCTGAATCACCCCAAAGGTCTCAAAGTACTGTCTGATTTTGTGCACAGGCATACCAGGGTTCAGCCCACCTACAAAAACCTTCCTCACGGGGAAGTTCGAGTCTATGGCGATAGCCCTTTTCAGAGATATTATCTTGCCATCGAGCTTGTGCTCTTTTACTTGGAGGACCTTCTCCACGGAAGCACTGTCTTTGAAAACGACAAAGCCAAATCTCCTGGATAGTCCAGTGTTTCGGTTAATTTTGATAATAAAGTCCATTATCTCACCAAACTGAGACAAGTATTCAAGAAGAGCTTGCTTACTGGTATCATCAGATAGTCCCCCGATGAACACTTTGTTGGGGTCAGGCAGGCGCTTGGTGGCTTCGATTGCGAACCCTTCCGGGTATTGTCCTCCTTGCAGTTGGTTCATGGCAACACTGGCGGCGTCCGTTGGACGGTAGGTGACCGACATCATCGTGGAAGGTGAGAAAACTGAGGCCTGAAGCGACAGGGAGAGGCGAGAAGAGAGAAGTGGTGGCGTAGAGGATTTAACGGTCAGCCGAGATGGAGTATGGGTATTGGAAAGGGTCACGATGAAATACTTACGTAGAGACGTAATGACGTGAAAACAAGTGAGTGAGCCGCAACGTGAGATCTTACTTTCAAAGTAATAGTTCCAGCTATTTGCTTTACAAAAGAAAAGTGGCTTCAGATGGTCTTTCCTTCCTTCCTTCTTTCTTTTTTTCTTTCATTCGTTCGTTCATCTGTCTTTCTCTCTTTCTAGACAATAGCCAGGAAAGGGGGTTGCCTGGAGCAACATCTAGTCCCGTTCCATCTCTTGTACCTGAATACGTTTAAACTTCTTTGCACTTTCTGAAAGGTGCTTTGCCTAGTTTTAAGTTCTTTGCATACTTCAGTAAGTTTGTTACTCCTCTGAAGGATTTGGGGCTGAGGTGGATGATAAGGCAAGTGAAATAGACCTAGAACGTACTCCACAGGGCCAAGAAAAATTTATGAATTCGCAGGTTATGTTGAGGGAGTCTAAAATAGCAATTTTAGCAACGGCATTATTGAGATATAAATTGCATGCCACATGCTTCACTCTTTTGTATTTCCATTGTATATTTACAGAGTTGTACAGTCACCACCACAATTTAACTTTAGACACCACCCCCGAACCCTCTACCTTCTACATTTCCCGGTCTCTCACCACTCCTATGACACTCTTGTTTCCTCACCCCCAACCCCCTTTCTCGGATGCTAACCTCACCTCCCTCTCCACCCTTCATGCCCCCTACTCCCCCATCACATCATCAAAAAATCTACATACCTATTCATTTCCCCAAACTCTTCCAATCACAGAATAGTGATCTTTGGGGTCTGACTTCTTTCCTGTAGCTGTAGCATAATGTTTTTAGGGTTTCCTTCATTATGAGCGTGAATCAGTATTTCATTCTTTTTATTGATGAATAATATTCCAAACTGTGGATATATAACAATTGTTAACCATTCCTCTTTTTTAAAAAATTGGAAAGTATTCATGCTCACTACATGGTCAGCACTTTGCAACTACCAGCCACACTGTAGAAAAAAGATGAAACTTCCTACAGGTAGAAAAAATTGGAATCTCTAAAATCTACATAGTTGCTTCTACTCTGTCCTACTGGGTTGCTATGAGTCAGAATTGACTGATGGCTGTGAGTTTTTGTTTGTTTGTTTTTGATATCATGTTTAAAATATGTAAGAGATATTATTTTGGCAGTCATTTGCATTATCTAATTTTTGCACAGGTCAGAAATAGGACATATTACATTGTTCATACTACTGTTGGTGTTAGGTTCCTTTGAGTCAGTTCCTATTCATAGCGACCCTATGTACAAGAGAAATGAAACACCTACAGGTCCTACCATCCTCACAATTGTTTCTGTTTCTATGTCCATACTATTGAGGTTGCTTTTAATGTTAGCTTATCTTCTTGTGCTGAAGACTAAAGCTGAGCTTTTAAATTATTTGTTTGGATACTTCCATCCTTTTATCACACATTTAATATGATCAAGTAAATTGTGTATCTCTCTCTCCTTCAAATATTACTTTCTTGAGGGAAAGACTTTAAAATTCTTCCCATAGTAACACCTCAAAGTTGTATTCAAGTAGGGATGCCGTCATTTTCGGCCATTACGAGTTTTTAAAACAGTAGTCACGTTGCTAATAGCAATGCCACCTGTTTATCTTTGGAAACATGTGATTGTAATTAGAGAAAGAGAACCGAGTTTTTAAAATACCCTCAATGAAATGAAATCCTAGAGGGAATGAGTTATTTCACAAAGGTGAAAACTCAAACCACTAGCAAAAAAAACAAAACAAAAAACAAAAAACCCTGGCTCATATTGAATTATAAGCTGTTTAAAGGCATATTTATCCCCATGCTTCTGATGCAAATCTATATTCTTGTCTCTTTCTTTATTCTGAAAATTATATTCCAGTTGCCTTTGCTTTCTCCTCATCTACTCCGTCATCAACTCCATCAGCCTAACTCTTATAATCTCTCCTAGGAGCCTCTTCTCTATAATAAACCTGTCATGTTCTTTGTATTCATATTTTGGCACTTAAAATGTTAATTTGCCTTATGAGTCATTAAGCTTCTCATGTACCAGCATGTGCCATGCCCAAGTTAAAGGCCCCAACATGCAATACCCGTTAAACAAACAAACAAAACATTGCTGCTCAGTTGATTCCAACTCATCATAACTGCCATGTTACACAGTAGACCCATTCAGGTTTTCTTGGCAGTTGTCTTTAAGGAAGCAGATTTGCAAATCTTTCGTTCCTAGAGCCGCTAGGTGAATTTGTTCTACCGATGTTTATCTTAGCAGTCAATAGCAAATGGCTTGTGTCCCTCAGAAGATGCTAAAAATCCTCACCAAAAAACCTAAAACAATGGATTCTTGAGGGGGCACATTTAGAACATTTTTGGTCTTACTAGAATCAGGGAGGAAGAATGTATTGCTTATTACCTATGAAATGCTGGTTGGCTAGAATTTGGGAGTCCTAACCTAGTTTACCTCTGTTAATGTAAGCCTATGAAAGACGTCGCACGTTTGAAACTCTCTTATTTTGGGGTCGTTGTAAGCCAACTGAGATAACCACAGAGTAGCCCGAGCCACTATGCTCTATCCAGATCTTGCTTTCCATAAATGGAAATCTGGGAGGAATTATGCATTTTGGGATGTTTCTAACCAACGAGGCACTTTCATGGCTAATTCTTTCCTATGGCTATTTAACAAATTAGGCTATTATGGATGTCATATTTTGGACCTCTGTGTGGGCCAGTTTGCTTTATTTAATTAGATTGCTACAGACTTCATCCATTACTCCGCCAATGCCCTTGAAAATCTATGTCCCTGGTCACAAGGGGCTAATAAGTCCAAGTATGCCAATGAATGATCCACACTTCTGGAAACACAATTCAAACCATTTAACCTACTGATCTCGGGTCAATAGTGTCCTTTTGGTACATGAAAGACAACATATTATTACTGTAATTACTATTGAGGCAGTAAAAAGGAGTATTAAAAAAAAAAGATTGTGTCTACTTTTGGTTCCTTAATAAAAATAATTATGTGCACTGAGGTTCTTTCCTCCTACACACATGCTCTATGGTCTTTAGCTGTCTAAAATGTTTTGAAGTAACTCATTTCCACTGGAATGACTGAAAATTAAAATATGTACTATTTAGCTTCAATTTTCCATAGAGATTATACCACATACCTTAATATATTTTAGGTCTCGAAATACAGTCATCAGATACCTAATGCTAACTTTATATTAGGTATAAGCTTTATATTATTAGTACAGTAACAATAATTGCAACTAATTTATTCTCATTCCATATCAACTTAAAGCACATATACTGCTTGTTGATTTGAATTGAAGCAACTCAAGATTTCTTTGCTGAGAAATGAATAAATGAATGGATGCTAAGGCCTGATACATTTACAAAAGATATTTTATAAGTGTGAAATGCTGCAAAACAAGATTTGTAAATCAAAGAACAAATAGCACGGATGCTAGTGATATAAGTAATAATTTGGTGTTGCTGGGTATAAGGGAAGCAAGTTGTATAGTAGATTCAAGCTATCATAATTTTTTTTGTATTTTAAGAAACAAAGGTTGCCTGACTTGGGTTTATTTTACTGTGAGCGTAGACCATGTCTGCAGTATTTATATCTCTTAATTTGATTGTCCCTTGCTCATTGCCATCTCATTCATAATTGTTGGAGAATTGAGGATGGCATATGCCTTTAAAATTAATCTGCTTCTCTTATCTTGGGACTCAACCTTGGCAGAAGGATGCTGTGGGACCTATAAATCAGAAAAGTAACCTGGATGTATTCTGATTTGATACGCTGGCATAGAGCTGTCTCTGTGGTAATATGTTCTTTAATGCTCTGTTGAACCTGTTCTCTTTAGTGAAATGAAAATGCATGTGTTTGACATACTTGGTCTAGTTGGTTGTGTGATAAAATGAGATTTCCCTTATTCTTTTTCCTCTTCATTTTCTACAGAAACTGTCAGTGCCTCTTACTTAAATTGAGAGTGCTAGCAGCTAGTTTGAAAAATGATCATTTAGGAAATACTGTTCTCTCCTAGCTCTGAGTGTATCCAAATAGTGATCTAGTTGAATGTAGTCCATTGGACAGAGACTGAAAATTAATTTGAGTTTAGAAGACTGTAACAAAGGAATCTAGCTGCTGGACTTCTGCCTAAATGATAGTTATTTAAAATTGCCTCTTGGCCACCTGCAAAGGCAAACATCCCTGGTGGTAGGAACACTATGATGCAAAATTAACTCAACAGCAGTGAGTTGGAGTCTTTTGTTTGTAGGAAGACAACATAAAATTTGCAGCTTAAAGAACTTTTTGACAAGATGTGCATATATTAAGATAAGCATTTCTCTTAGGAAAATCCCTTAAAATACGAAGTGCAATTATGAGTTGATCACAGTGATTATATCCAGCAGTTTAAATAAAAATTAAAAGGAAGGCTCGTGTCCTACACTGAATGATAAGTAGTGTATGCAAAGGGAACTCTACTATAATGTCTTCCCTAGCTGACAGTTCTTCTTTGAATCATTGTTATTTTGTACTATAACAGCCACTGGGTTGCTCGTTTAGTTAGAATCTACCTCCAGAAAAACAGGAATTCACCCTCTAAGTACATATGTATAACCTGGACAATAATAGAACAAAACTGATCTTGGTTTTTCCTCTACTTCCTCTTTCTCCCTTATATTAGTTTATGCAGTTAGCGATGCTCTATGATTAAACAAATAAAATGACACATTTCAAAATTGATTTCTATTTTTATCTAGTTTATAATTCCATATTTGCTAAGTTGATCTAAAACACATAAAGTTTTGCTTATACAATTATTTTACTTTTGTGGCTTTAGCTATTTTGGTACAGTGTATGT